TTTTTGGGTGGTGATTTACTAATGTGTTGTTTACAATGTTTGTGGCAATTAATTTTAATTGATGTTATCATTCGGTAACATTCACATATTCACTACCTCATCTATAAATATGGAGTTATGAGAAGTATATTTAAAGTTTTCATTCACTTTGAGTTCCGTCAAGGTTAGTATATATAGGATGCTATGTGTATCTTGAAAAGAGATAATACGAGACAAGAAATAAAAAAGACATAAAAAACAGCATAATCTTTATTTAATGCATTTTATCTAGTTGAATCAAAACCATCAAAGAGCATATCAGATTTGAGAGCGTGAAGGATACTGACAACTCTAGTAGTTACTGGATTAAATATGCGGGCAATTTATGGCTTCCGCTACAAAATTTTAATCTCATATTTATATATGTGTTGTATAAAACCACCAACAGGCAACAAAGGTATCAGAGTTTGTTTATTCCTCTGACATACTTTTTAATAAACAAATATATTTATGTATTTGTTACATAAAATTTATTTTATTTAAATTTTATTGATTAACTAAGTGTTTAATGAAGAATGGGTGAAATTCATTAAGTTGTGATCATGAAAAAGATCTTAAAGAGAAAATAAAAAATTAAGATGGGGAATGATTAGGTTTTGTAGCCTAATTATTTCACATGCATATATCACCATTCACGAACATGATTCATTCGATAATTTGTAAGGAAGGCAGGCACGATTCAAGAATTTAAAGAAAACCGGTCATCTAAATTAAGATTATTTAGTAAACTCCTATCACACACTCACGAGGGAAAAAAGAAAAATTAAAAAATTGCAAAGAAGGTTAGGAGTACATGAGATGAAATTAGTGCTGTTGAATTAAACGAGTTAGGCCCGACTCGTTAGGGCTTGAATTCGGCTCGAGTTCGAGGTTTTAACGAGTCGAGCTCATTTAAAGCTTGTTTAATTAACGAGTCGAGTTCGGCTCGATAAGACTCGAAAAGAGATTTTTTATATAATTTTTGATAGTTCAGCTCGTTAAAACTCGAGATCGGCTCGTTAAGGCTTGAGTTCAAGACCTTAACAAGCTGAGTCGAGCTCGAACACTCTAAGCTCGATCTTGGCTTGGCTCGACTTGTTTACAGGCCTAGATGAGATGAGATGAGAGCATCCACAATGCTTTGGGTCTCTTTTTGCATATGTGTCAAATAAATAGACTTAAGTCCATAATGACATGGACAAACCCAAGCTAAAAAAATCCAAAATCTATCCAATGCAAAACAAAAAAGTACTAGGTCTAGAATACTAAACAACCAATAAAAATATAGTAATAATAAATGAATAAAAAAAATGTGTTTTGCCTATTAAAAAAAAAATTGTGAACAATTAATGACTAGGTGGGTTTGCACTTGGGTCCAAAATAGACAAGTGTGGACTTAGTCTCTTTTTTCTAGTGCCACATAAGTTAGACTAGGTCCACTTTTAATTGTATTGTGAAACATTTTTTTATAGACTAGGTCTATTTCCTACATAACATATGAATTTTTTTTTAAGAGACCCAAAGCATTGTGGGTTCTGTGAGATGATCAGATTCTATCAACATTGACTTGTTTAATTGGGCCAATTATCTAGCCCATATTTTGGTGATTCTCACGCACTTAACTAAATGGGCCCTAACAATGATTAATTAAAAGAAGCCCAAACTTCGAAACATCACTATAAATACCAAAAGAAAACCATCAGTCACATTTTTTGGATTAGGGTTCTTCACTGCCGTCACCGTCGACTGCTTCCTCTCCGCAGACCATTATCATTCCTTCGATTTCTCAACTCTGCAATCATGGGGTGCGTGAATACGTTATCATTATTATTATTATTTTTTTTTTTATGACTTTTGTATCTTCTGTGTTCGCGGTCTTCAGTCGCGCGTTGAACTTTCAACTTTCTTTTAATCTTGGCTGTATTTATTGGCTAGATTCCATTTTTTTTCTTGATTTTGTTAGCTGGGTAGCTCAAATGGGTGGAATGAATATGTTTAGTGTGGTTATTTGGGGTAATCTTTTTATCTATTTTTTGTATTTGCATTGCACGAGAAGCTTGATAAAGGTGTGACCTTTAACGTTTCATGCATTGATTTACTCTAATTTTCTGTTTCTCTATATTCGTTATTTGAATTATCTTTTCTGAAATGATATGTATTAGATTAGGGTCGATTGCAACATATTCTATTCAGAAACTCTTGGCTCAGCCATTGCTTTTTCCTGCAATGTGTTTACGAATAATCCATGGTTAGTTGAGTTATGCCTTATTAAGTGGTTCGATTGTGTTTACACTGTAACTTAATAGGAAGACACGTGGTATGGGAGCTGGGCGCAAGCTCAAGTCTCACCGCATTAGGCAAAGGTGGGCCGACAAAGCTTACAAGAAATCTCACCTTGGCAATGAGTGGAAGAAGCCATTTGCTGGTTCGTCTCACGCCAAAGGAATTGTGCTCGAAAAAATGTGGGGATTCCCTTTTTGTTCTTCGGTCTTGTATATATATTTCCTCAAGTGTTTTTTTTTTTCTGTTTAATAATCGTGATATATAAAATTTACAGTGGTATTGAGGCTAAGCAGCCCAACTCTGCCATTCGTAAATGTGCTCGTGTGCAGCTGATCAAGAATGGAAAGAAGATTGCCGCTTTTGTTCCTAACGACGGTTGTTTGAACTATATTGAGGAAAATGTGAGTTCTTGTTATTACCTTGCTTTGCCTCATTATTGAACTTTTCAAGTGTTTTTTTTTTTAATGAAATTAATTAATCATCTACAATGTTTAAATTGTAGGATGAGGTGTTGATTGCTGGATTTGGAAGAAAAGGGCATGCTGTTGGAGATATTCCCGGTGTTAGGTTTAAGGTGGTGAAGGTTTCTGGTGTTTCCCTTTTGGCCCTTTTCAAGGAGAAGAAGGAAAAGCCCAGGTCTTAAGTTTCGGTTGTTTGTTTTTTTAGTGAGTTCGGGTGCTTTTTAAATTTTTGGGAGGTTGTTTTGTTCGAAAATTTCATTAGCATATGTATAAGAGTTGTAATTGACCTTCACATTACTATTAGTCATCAACTTTTAGTTTATCACAAGTGCCATTGAACTTTAGTTTATCATGCTTGAGCCACACTTGGGGTAAGTTACGATTATGGTGCATTGGACTAAATCGAGTGGCTGTTTATATTAAATGTTGGTGGAAGTTGGCCTTTTACCAATATATGCTTGTGAGTAAATTGATGTTGTGTGCGTTGTTTTGTTTCCCTTTTTTTGCTCGACGAAATTGATAGATTACTTACTGAGTGAATTCGCCCATATCATTGAAGAATTGTGCTACCTGTTATTACCAAATGGAAGTGAATGATTCTTGTATTAGGTTCTTAAAATTCTTATTAATAAAAGAAGATTTACATTTACCATTTGTAAAATTCATTTTAAATGTATTTGTATGACCAAATTACTATACAATGTGAAACAATCATACAAATTTCTAGGGCAAAGTTCTACCTCTCTGAATTTAAGTATCAAAACTAGAAATGTTAAAATCGATCCACGAGCTAGTTTATGTAAACATTACCATACATATTGTAGTGATTCATAAAATATTGCAGAAATACTTTATTTGTACATTTACATAACTTTTACAAAATTACTAGGTCATTAAAAACAATTCAAATCCAATACCCTAATTTATACCAACAGCCCAATCCCTGCCGCACATCCAAATCCAAAAATTGACATCTTTCGCGTCGCACATCGACGAGCACCCTGTCTGGTAGTTCCGGTCGAGTCGCCTGCCGGAGACAAAACCGTATGTGTCGCAGTCGACTATTGTGAACCTGTTGGGCGTGTAGTTGACCGTCAGGTGAGTCTAGAACTCGATCCACGGGTCGGTGTATGAGGCCTGGGTCCAGTTGCGATTGTAGTAATCGTGCGCGACATAGTGGAGGAGCTCGAGCTTGCCTGTGAGGGATATTTTTGGTAATTTCGCTCAACATGTTCTAGAGGAAGGGTCTTGAGGGATTGAACGTCTGATTGCAGTTGACAAGTAAACTATGCTTTGGTAGCAACAAGGTGACATCTCGAACGGGTACGGGATGCTTATGTCACCGCAGTTGTCGAGGCAGCCGGGCTTTGTAACCGGGTAGTTTGTACAAATTGAGCGAGGGATGCTCGGAGTTTGGATTCTAGCGCATCCCCGTCGTCCAGCTCCAAGCAGTTGAGGATATGTTTGTATAAGTAAGCGGGGGACCTTCTTTGTGTTCACGGCCATATCAGCACTTGTACTGGTGCAACTTGGTTTGGCCGGCGAGGGAGATGGCATCAGAGATGGAGGATGGCTTGAGATATTTCTAGGTTTTGGACGATAGTGAGTTTGAGGGTGAATTTGGGGGTTTATTTGAGAAGTTGATGTGTATATTTTGGGTGAATTTTAAAATTCAATGTTTATTTGACGATTAGTAATAGTTTATGATTGATAT